CGTTCCACAGCACTAGACCCCTTCTTGAACCCTTGAGCCTGGAGGCAAGGTGCGGCAAGAGACGAACAAACCCAGACCCAAAGCAGTGCAAAACAACACTACATACCTGCCTAAACAGGAAAATTTGCACAATCTTGCAATGTTGTTTTCGGATTCCGAATCGCTTAGACCATCTCACAGCTTGAAGCCGTGCTTAGCAGGCTGAAAGCTTGAGCTGATGGGCTCGGCAACTAACTAGCCCATCCGCGGCACAAAAGAGCTCATACGAGCTTGAGCCGCGCTCTGTGGGCTCTTGGGAGCTTGTGGAGTGAGGAGTGGACTCACCTTTGAGCTTCCCCGATTCACGCTCTTGTTTTCGACTAGCTGTGTCAATCTGCTCAATTTGGAGTCAATTTCTGCAAACCTTTCCTCTTGAGTCTTTTTCACGTCATTAATTTGCTCCTTCACCAATGCATGAATACTTCGTAGCTCCTCTGGTTCTTCTCGCTGAAGCACCCAAATGTAACAGCCTTCGGTGGACCGACCAAAGGCTCCCTCCACAAGCTTTACAAACGTCAGGCAAAGGCCACTCCAACTGCAGAACAAGACTAAAGAGCAGAACAGTGGGAGAGTGCAAAGAATCAGAACCAAGTGAAAGAATGCCTGGAGACAATAACCGATGGCATAGACACAGGAAGCCAACTGCCCCACCCATGCCGGTCCGCTTGACCGTCGTCTCAACCACCCTAAGCACCTTCCAAAGGGACGGCTCCGGATCTCCAATAAGAATTTGGCTCGAGCCTGGTTGAAGAGTTGCGGAGCGTGGTCTTGGTAGAGATCAAAGTTGCTGCCAAGGACCCCAATCAACAGATTCATCAATAGAATCGTAATGCAAATTCCAGTGCCAAAGAAGATGATATGAATGTAGATGTAATCGTCGCCCATTTCTTTGGGAGATGGGTCCTCTGGCTCCCACTGAGCATTGTTCTGCTTGAAGATCGGGTCTGTGCCCTGAAACTCAAAGAGGTCAAAATCTGCGAAAAGCCCAAGCCTCACCACTTGCAAGAAGGCATCATAGATGGGATAATCCTCATCACGTACTTGTAGGTTGTAGTATGCATGGGTGGCAGCGCAAACACAAACAAATGCGAAGAAAAAGAATCCCACTGTGTCCCTGAGAGCTGAAATAATTGGCAAAATTCGGAGCCCAAACCAAGGCTCCCCTCGCAAAGTCGAGCAAAATCGAAGCCAAGCACAAGCCGAAAAGATCGCCATGAAAGGCTTTTCCAAACCTGCATGATCAAGCTGTCTGAAGAGTGCAACGCAACCGACAACCTGGTAGGCTAAATCTGCAAGGTTGTCAACATCCAAAAATGGAGGCAGAGCTATCCAACCTTTCTCTGATCGTCGAGTCCATAGGAGCTGCACTCTAATTCCCAATGCTTCTAATTGCTGGGCAAGCTCCTCAAGCACCATCTTCATGTGAATGCAGATCAGCACTTTCAAAACGACCAACGGCGCAGACCCTTTTTGGTTTCGAAAGCCGAAGGAGACGTAGCACAGCAAAATGACATTGATGCCATTCAACATGATCTCTGCAATCACTCGACCTCGTGTTTGCAGCCAAGCAGCTGATATGATGGCCGTCACCGTATCAGTTGCAAGTGTGTCCTCATTGGCTGTCGTTGCCAATGCACGCAGAAGGTCAATGTCACAAGCTAACGAGGCATCAAGGTATTGCAGAACTTTAAGCTGAACCTTGATCTCGGGAGTATGTAGAAGATTTTGACCGGCAAGTTCTCTCAGTTTCAAATTCTCGAGGAGAACTCTGGTTTCCTCTGTGGCCTTCAGGGAACCTCGTCTCAAGGGGTCCTTGGACCTGTAGCACTCCGACAAAACCACATGGAGACGTTCGGCCAACGGAGCCTTTTGGGTCCAATATTCGAAGGCCAGACCCTTTGGATCGTCATCCTGTCTTCTACTCACTGCCACTGCTTCTACAAGCAACGACCTCACAATGTCAGTTGCATCATGTCCTTCTCTCTGCAATATCACCACCAGGTTCTCCTTGAACTTGTGGATATCGCGTGCTCCGTAGGTTATCAAGTGTTTGCCAGCTTCGCTCTTGGCCAATTCCAGTGCCGTCCGGCCAAAGGTATCCTTTTGGTCACAGTCTGCCCTGCTTTGCAACAGAAATTCAACGATGTCCTTGTGTCCTTCCAGACCTGCAAGGTGCAGTGCCTGCCAGCGCATTTCACTTTCTCCGACTGCATGAACCTTGGCCCTCCTCTGCAAGAGGAGCTGCACCACTGGCAGGTGACCATGGTATGCTGCCACTTGAAGCGGCGCGCAACGGAAGGAATCCTGGTCCTGATAGAGCCATGGGGAGGGATCCATAACCGGGGTTCATTGTATATTTGAAAGTAACAATATAATACAATATATATATATGTATATACATATGCAACCTCCCGGCACCAACAACCCCCTTTTCACTCAAAAAACTGATGGACAACACTGACGGCACAGAGTACAGGATCGACATGGTACATTGGCATTGGCATTGGCAGAAGATGTTTGCCTGCAGAAAAACATGTATGGCAAACGACTACAACGTATCATTGCAAACACAAGAAACCCAAATGTATGTGGTCAGTGCAAGCAGGTTTTTCGACTCGTGTGCTCTTTTTGTGTAACCCTGGGAATCATAGGGAAGCTTTTTGGTTTGTCTTTTTTGAAATGCAAGCAGGGCGCACGGAGACTGATTTCCTATCCGTGCCAACAAAGCTACGGAATCAGTTGGAAGAGAGTTGGGACACCAACTTTTGCACCTGCTTTCGAAATGGTTGTGATGTTCGGTGACCACGCTCTCCTCAAGTGAAGAGGCTGCTTAGGTGGCATTGGAGCTCCGCAGGTACGCATCTTCAATTTTGCAACGTTCCTGGTATCTTGGAACTCGCTTTACCTTGATACTCGTTTGAGATGGTTGGACCGCCTTGCACTTGACGATCAAGCTTTGCTACTATTGTTTCTTTCCTGATGAATTGGAGCTTCTGTTCCTGCTTGAACTCCGTTGCGCCCGCTTTACCCCGGAACTTTTTCACCTAGGTGGTCAGGCAAAGTGGCAATTAGACCGTACGTACTTGATCCTGAGCGCGTGTGCTCTCATGCGCATGTTCTCATATGTGTAGGCCCTGGATCTTGAGGTTACCTATCGGTACGTATTCTTGCAATGTTTTCTACGTGGAAAGCAGGGGAGTGGTGGGCATTCTTGAAGTCACCGCTCGGCAAAGACACTTCAAGTTTGCTGTGATATGCAATCTGAATGCAGATTGCACATACCTGCGCGAAGATGTTCACCGATCACTTCCTTATGGTCCCTGCTTGTAGCTACAAGAAGACTTCCAGCCATGGTTTCGGTTCTTCATTGACAAATGTGCATTCGCAGTCTTTCGAGTTTTGGAACTTCGTACACGTGGAATGTTTTTGACGTCATACCTTGATACCCTCGAACACTTTGAGGTAGTCAGACCACTTTACATGTTACCTGTTTTTCTCAGGCAATTTTGTCACCTAGGTTTGTGAGTGGTATGAGGCATTCAGACCGTAAGTTCATGTGTGTTGCTAGGCTCGGTGCGTTCTCTCACGCGTGCGTTCATCAAGAAAGGTGGTGGTTGTTCTTCACTTAAAAAAACAAGAAGGAGCCCACGAACCCGAACGCAGACACGTTCGAAAAGCTACAAATGACTCCAGTGGGACACTCTTACGGGACACTCTTGTGGGACACTCTTGTGGGACAGTCTTCTGGGACACTCTTGTGGGACACTCTTGTGGGACACTCTAGTAGGACACTCTTGCGGGACACTCAAACGGGACACTCTTGTCGAACACTCTCGTAGGACACTCTTGTGGTCACTCTTATGGGAAACTCTTGTCGGACACTCTGTGAGACACTCTTGTAGGACACTTTGTGGGACACTCTAGT